CAAGAACTGGGGTATAGGCCAGAGGTATGGAGGGTGAGAGGATTCACCAGAGACAGAGTGGGGAACAGAATAGGCAGATTGACTGAAGTACACAGCTGAAGGGAGCAGTGGGCCAGGCAGGAGAGGTCTGCTGCACCATGTGTGTAGCTCCCTGGCTGGGGATCGAACTCGTGCTGCAGAGGATGTGGACAGCTTTATAGGTTGCATCTTAACCCCTGAGCCACCAGGGAGGTCCTCTAAAGTCTCTTCTAAAGAGACATCTTGTTGCTTTATATCTTGAGTATCTTGAGCAGCATTTGAATTTCATCAAGGTTAAATTTTGACCTTTCTAATAGATGTATATTGATTTCTCTTTCTTGTTTTAATTTGAAGTTCCAAAATGACATAAGATATGGAACATCTTTTCATATGCCTATTTACCATCTGCATACCTTCTTTGGTGAGGTGTCTGTTAAAGTTCTCAGCCTAGTTTTCAATTAGATTGTTTGTTTCCTTACTATTGAATTTTAAGAGTTCTTTGCATATTTTGGTAACAGGGTTTTTTTTTTTATCATATATCTTTTGCAAATACTTTCTCCTAGCCTGTAGCTTGTGTCCACCTTCCCTTAAGAATATCTTTCTCAAAAAACTTCGAAAACTAATGTAGTCCAGTTGATCAATGACTTCTTTCATGGATGATGCCTTTGGTATTGTATCTAGAAAGTTATCACCATACCCAAGATCACCTAGATTTTCTCCTAGATTATAGCCTGCAAATTTTAGATCTTTGTGTTTTCCACTTGGGTCTATGATGCATTTTGAGTTAACTTTTGTGAAAGGTGTAAAATCTGTGTCTATATTCACTTTTTACATGTAAATGTCCAGTAGTTCCAGCACCATTTGTTCAAGAGATTATCTTTGCAACATTGTATAGCCTGTCCTCCTTTGTCAAAGATCAGTTGTCAGTATTTATGTAGGTTTATTTTGGGGCTCTCCATTCTGTTCTATGAATTATCTGTCTATTCCTTCACCAATACATGTCTTGATTATTGCAGACTTATAGTAAGTCTTGGAGTCAGGTAATACCAGTCCTTCAACTTTGCTCTTCCCCTTCAATACTGTGCTGGTTATTCTGGGTCTTTGCCATTGCATTTAAATTTTAGAATTAGCTTGTTGATACCCACAAACTAACTTGCTTGGATTTTGATTGTGATCACATTGAATCTAAAAATCAAGTTGGGAAAAGCTGAAGTGGTATAGCTCAATAGTAGAGCATTTGACAGCAAGTTGGGAAAACCTAAAGTCTTGACATGGAATATCTTTATATTTTTTTAGTTACTCTTAGATTTCTTTTATCAAAGTTCTGTAGTTTTCCTCTAACAGATCTTGTGTACATTTTGTTTGATTTATGCATAAGTATTTTATTTTGAGGGGTGCTAATATGAATGGTATTGTGTTTTAATTTCAAATTTCATTTGTTTATTGTGTTATATAGGAAAATCAGTGGAGCTTTGTAAATTAACCGTGTATCATTCAATCTTACCATCATCATTTATTGGTTCCAGATTTTATTGCTGTTGATATTTTTGGATTGTCTACATAGAAAATAATGTCATATGTGCAAAGAGAGTTTTGTTTCTTCCTTACTACCTGGTATAACATTAATTCTCTTTCCTTGTCTTATTGCATTGTTAGGACTCTCAGTATGAGATTTACAAGGAGTAGTGAGAAAAGCATCCTGTTTTGTTCTTGATCTTATGGGAAAGCTTCCAGCTTCTCACCATTAAGTATGATGTCAGTTACAGGCATTTTATAGATCCTCTTATTTTAAACAGAGGGAGTTCTCCTAAATTCTTAGTTCAGTTACAATTTTTATCAGAATAGGTGTTGGATTTGTCAAACACTTTTTCTGCATCTATGGATATGATCATGTGATATAATGGATTATATTAACTTATTTGAAATATTAAACCAGACTTACATCCTGAGTATAAATTCCACTTGGTATACATTTTTTTATTATAATCCCACATTATTTATAATCATTTAATAAATTTTCGGTTTCAATTTGCTAAAATTTGCAGAGGATTTTTGCACCTATATTATGAGAGATGTTGGCCTAAGTTTTCTTTCCTGTACTGTTTTTGATTGGTTTTGATATTAGGGTAATGCTAGCCTCATAAAATCAGTTAGGAAGCATTTTCTTGGCTTTTATCTACTGAAATAGACTGAAGAAAATCGGTGAATTTTTATTCCTTAAATATTTGATGGAATTCTCCAGATGCTTATGTTTTAGAAGGTTATTAATTTGGAGGTAATGCTTTCTGTTTGGGAAAGTTATTTATTTTTATTAAATTTCTTTAGGATATAGGTCTATTCATATTGTTTATTAGGTCTTTTTTTTAGAGAAGGTAGCATTGCTGCTTTGAGTGGCTTCAATATATATTTGCTATTACTTGTTAAAAGAAGGCATTCTTAATATGAATTATTCTAAGTTTAAAATTTGTTATTTTAGGCATACTCAAAGAATTAACTGATTTGCATCCTATAACTGGATAGTCTAGACCTGGTAATTGTAGTGTATATTGATTGTAGTCAACATACAGACATTTTAATACATAATTTATTCATTTTGCCATTTCTCTTATCTTGTAAATTTACTAGCAGATACAGTGTTTTAAATTATAAGTTAAAACAAATTATTATAAAACTTTTCCTATCACCCTAACAGTGAGTAAAGTCTGCCTGGGGAAAATCCTGCAGTGGGGAAAATCAGCCAGGTCAAAATGCCCTAGGCTGTGCTCTTTGGCTCTGGGATCACATTCCAACAAAAATCTTCTAAGGTCCTTAATGTCTAATGTCTGGTGCCCATAAAGCACATGGTGGGGGTGCTTCATTCCTGCAGCTGACTGGCATGAGAACACTGACATTCCTCAGCAGGGCTTCTTATCTTCCAGGACTCTAAAATCTAGGAAAGCTCCAACGGTGTCAGCACAACGCTTGATTCTCTTCTGTGTCTGCTGAGTCAGACCCTCTGTGTACCCCAAACAGAGGTGGAGAGACATGTCATACTTTGCTTGTTGCCCCATTTGAACATTTTGTGCACAATACTACTGACACCAGATATGCAGGTTTTTCCTGAGCCTCCCTGGTGGCTGAGTCTCAGTGCTGTCAAGCTATGGCCAGCCGTTGCATCATGAGTTTGATCCCTAGCCAGGGAGCTAACCCATATATGTTACAGGAGACCTCTCCTGTGTTGCCCACTGCTCCCCTCAGCAGTGTATTTCAGTAGATCTGCCTGTTCTGCTCCCCACTCTGTCTCTAATGAATCCTCTCAATCCCCCTGCCTCTGGCCAATACCCCAGTTCTTAAATGCATAAATAAATAAAAATAAATCTTTAAAAAATTAAAAAGTATTAAAAAATAAAATATGTAGGGTTTTTTTTTTTCTCATACCAACCAATTCTCCAACTCTCCAGACACCAGTTGTGTGTCCCACAGTTCAATTCTAACACAAACTACCCAGAGTCCCTGAGGCTGAATTTTTGATTTAGACCTTGACACAAAATGTTCTATAATTATATATAAAAATTATTTTGCACGCTGAGATATATTTAATTCATTAATTTAGAAAATCTGTTCTGGGTACCAACTTCACACCAGTTAAAGGCTCGGTCCCACAAAATTGTCCCCACTGAGTACAAGTTTTAGGTTGCAGAGTTGTATTAGGACTGAAGACAGACACTATGTGTAGGGGTGTGTGTGTGTGTCTTAAGCTTCACACTCCAAGTCTCACATGCCCCTTTTTTTTTCTTTCTTTTTTTTTTTACACATTACTCTTGAAAGTAGACTTGCTGCCCAGGATTCAGACCGAACGTAAGAGATCCCAGTGAGTCCAGTTATTTCTTCCTCTCTGCCACACCAACCCATCAAATGTATGAAGTAGATCTGAATTCCAGTTTTGCCTCAGTTGCGCCACCAAGACGCTTGTCCTGTAACAGTTTTCTGCTTCTTTTGCTTTCCAGATAACTGAGAATACCTTTCTTAGTCCAATAAAAGCACAGGACTCAGACAAGATGCAGGTAGATAGTTGAGAACAGAACTCAGACAGAAGGCTACTAAGCTGGGCAGAATGCTGAACTGAGAGTACACCAACAGACAGTGGATGGCAGAGACAAGTAATAAGTATCAGAATCGACAGCCTGAACGGGGCAAACCAGAACACAAAAGAGACCTGTGAGTTAAAGCCACCGGCATCCTGCTGAGGGGCATGTCCTTGAGGCTGAATTTTTGATAGAACTTGATACACAATGTTCTATAATTACATATAAAAATTATTTTGCACACTGAGATATATTTAATTCATTAATTCAGAAAATCTGTTCTGGGTACCAGCAATACATAAGGTATTGTGGATTGAGGCAGTTCTTTCTCTCAAGGCATTTGTAATTAAAAAGGAAAAAATGAAGAGTGCACAAAGATAGCAGGAGTGCTATCTGCCTCAGGAACCAATAGTTGAACCTTCACAACCTCTCAGAAAGGCAAAGACTGTTAATTCTATTTTACAGGTAAGGAAACTGAGGTGCAGAGATGCTCAGTAAATTCCCTAGTACTTGTGCTCGGAAGTCGTAGAACATAACCTGGTGCTCCTTCTCCTCTCTTCCCATGTGAGAAGAGGAGGGTAGTGGAAGCTTCACGAAGGTGGAGGTGACATTCAGGTGGGAGTCACCGACAGTTCCGTTTACTGTTTTCTTACTCTGTCATCGCCTACCTTGGTTTCATTTGCTCATTACAAGACTTCTACTTCTGATAGGTAGGAATGTTCATGATTTCTGGCAAAGACAGAAGGAGACACCCACTGTGGCTTGACAAAAATCATGTTGCATCAATTCCAAGATGCGTGCCTTGCTGCTTAACATCACTAAAATCAAGATGAGTTTTTCATCAGTGGCATCTTACAATTATTGTTGGCCAGGTGGCAATTATGACACACTTGATTTTACCTGTGCATCAAAACTTACAGAATGGAAGTCAGTGACGTGGATGGAAACTGTTGAAACAATAGTAAGCCGCTTTTCACCTTCAGGAATGAATTAGTTGTTAGAAGAAGGCGAAACAATAGCGGTAGCCCTGCTCGTGAGTGTTTACGTAGGTCGGTTCCACGTCACTGCAACGACAGATTACCTGCGGCACCCGACAGCGAATGGCTTTTACCTCGTTCATAGATTTAAGTAGCTGGAACGCAATATTGTTGAAGTCACAGAAGTCACGTTCAAGTCCATTACTGAGTTAAAAGAGATTCAGAAGAGTCAGCCTCTAAAGGTGAAGAAATTTTAGGAATAACTTAACCAATTAATATTACTTTTATTTACCTTTCTAGGTATGTACCAAGTAACATAGATATATGACTCAGAGTTCATGTACATTTTCAATAAGTAGTAAGTGAAAATTCTAAATGAAAGGAAATCTTTTTTTGTTTAATTTAGAGATATTTGTGTTGTTGGCATGTAAAATGGTAAGATAATGATGAATTTTAGATACAAGAGAATACGGTAATGGCAATACACTGTCTTTTTTTTCTTGGCCTAAGCTAACCTAAAAAACCAAAAGAAGTAAGTGAACAAAAAAATCTCTTCTGGTGTTCACCATATCCTCCAAGTGTGAATGACTTTTTGACCTACTTGTAATAGGCTATTTCTTGTGTTGGTTTTTTTTTTTTAAAAGATTTATTTATAAATATTTTAAAGATTTATTTATTTATTTATTTATACAAGTACTGGGTACAGTCAGAAGTGCGGGAGGGGGAAAGAATTCACCAGAGCCAGGGCGGGAAGCAGAACAGGCAGGCTGATGAAGTACACTGCTGAGGGGAGCAGCGGGCGGCAGGAGAGGTCTGCGTGCCAGCCAGGGATGGAGTCGGCGCTGCGGAGGCTGAGGGCAGCTTCACAACCCAGCGCTCAACCACTGTGCCACTGAGGAGGCCCCTATTTCTTGTGTTTTTTATGTATGTGCCTCTGTGGTAGATCCCTCTTTATGTAAATATGAAAATATGCCTTTCTTTTTTATTTAAATTAGAGCACCTTGTGTAGGAGTAATAATTTGTGGGTGAGCCAGTTTTAGAACAGTTCTAATTCACATATAAATTGATAATTCAATATTTCTGACATAAGATATATAAGATCGGGCCTCCCCGGTGGCGCAGCGGTTGAGTGCTGGGTTGCGAAGCTGCCCACAGCCTCTGCAGCGCCGGTTCGATCCCCAGCTGCTCCCCGGCCACCGGAGGAGGGTCCCACATGGCGCGCAGACCTCTCCTGCCGCCCGCTGCTCCCCTCAGCAGTGTACTTCAGTCCTTCTGCCTGCTCTGCTCCCCGCTCTGGCTCTGGTGAATTCTCTCACCCTCCTGAGCTTCTGACTGTACCCAGTGCTTGTATAAATAAATAAATAAATAAATAAATCTTTAAAAAAAAAAAAAGATATATAAGATCTATTTTTTAGGCTGATTATACCTGATTAGGTGAAAGAATGTAAATAAGCCAATGTTTCTGAATTACTTGAGGGAAACAAAAGCTATTGAGAAACCCATTTATAGTTGATTTTGGGATGTTCTTCCCAGCAATCTCACCTGCCCATTTATTTTCTTGAATTATTATTTACTTTACCCTCCATTCAGTGGTGATGGAAGATAAAGCCTAAAAATTAAAAAAAAAAGTAGATAAGCAGCATAAGCTGAAGCCTGTGCATGTGACAACGACAGGTAAATATTTTAAAAAGATTACATAATCAAGAGTTGGTTTTATTTGCTAAGAGAGGACAGTTAGACTTCGCAAGAAAGGAGAGAATGTAATAAACAGATTGCTTAAGAAAAGTCATTTTCTTTTTTTTTTAAGGTTTATTTATTTATTTATTTATACAAGAACTGGGGTATAGGTCAGAGGCATGGGAGGGTGAGAGAACTCACCAGAGACAGAGCGGGGAGCAGAACAGGCAGATGGACCAAAGACACTGCTTGGGGGAGCAGCTGGCGAAGCAAGAGAGGTCTGCTGCGCCATGTGGGTTTCTCCCTAACTGGCCGGGAATCCAACCCGAGCTGCAGAGGCTGAGGGCAGCTTCTGCAGCACGGCACTCAACCCGCTGCGCCAACGGGGAGGCCCCAAGACAAGCCATTTTCAACATCTATTTTTTTTTAATATCCTCAACCCATTACTGTGTCTAAAAGAAGAAATAAAACAAGTACAGAAATAATTGTCATAAGATATAGAAGATAAAAGATAATATAGAAAAAATATGAAATTTAAAGAACATTTTTACTGCTACCAAATGAATAAGGTACTTTGGAAAATACAGCAATCCTCCTATTGGAAGATGTTATCAAGCTAGGAATGCATTAAAGGGAAAGACAGGTCAGGTAATTAGTGCATTTAAGGAGGTAGTACGGGGGGGGGGGGGTCTTTCTTGATCTTATTAAGATGAAAGCAACGTTATCCACTTTTTCTTTCTAACCTGTAAGTCAAAAGTTTCTAGTGATATCCAGGGATGAGCTTTTTTGTATAGAGCTAGCTCATTAATAAATTGTTCACATATACAGGGCAGGATGTGAGCATATGTTTCTGTTTGTGTAGGAAAGTCCCAATTTAAAAATATTGTCCGAAGTAAGTATTACTTGTGCCCTTTCAGTACCTAAAGTTAACACAGTCTAGTTTTAGATGAAAAACAAAAAGTAATCATTTTTTCAACTTTGGCACCCTCTTGTGATTAAAGAATAAAAAGTCTTTATGGAAACAAAATTTTCCTTGAAGTTAAACATTGGGGCATTTCACATCCTGATATTGCTTATCAGAGAAAAGGAATCATCCCCTCCCTACGTCCCCCCACCCCAATGTGTGTGTGTGTGTATAGATAGATGATAGATAGATAGATAGATAGACATCTCAAAGCAGAGCTACAAACTTTCTCCCAAAGTTCTCAGCTTTGAATTTCAAGTTATCAGACTTTACCACTGGCTAGCCTTTAATATTGCTCTCAGACTCCAGAGCCTTTCGCCCGCTGATCAGTAACTTTAGCTCCTGACACACTGTCACTATCAATAATTCTGTCTTAATTTTTTTGGTGAATTCAATATACACTTATATGATTTTCCCAGCACACAAACATGCTGTCATTCTTTCATAGTTAACATTTCTCTTCATCTCACATTTCTAACTACAATCATACAGTCACAATGGAAAAAAAAAATCTAAGAAATGTGTTAATCAGTGATTTTATCATTGTGCAAATGCAAAATTAGCAGATTGAGACACTTGGGGGTTACGATGAACAAAACACCAGAATAAACAGAAATGATGTTTTCAAGAGATGTGATATGCCTCCCTGGTGGCTCAGGGTTGAAGTCTCAGTGCTATCAAGCTGTCACCAGCCGCTGCAGCATGAGTTCGACTCCCCAGCCAGGGAGCTGGCCTACATGGCTCAGCAGACCTCTCCTGTCTCACCTGCTCTTCCCCTCAGAAGTGTGTTTCAGTGGATTTGCCTGTTCTGCTCCCCACTCTGTCTCTGGTGGATCTTCTCACCCTCTGCACCTCTTTATGCATACATAAATAAAAATAAACCTAAAAAAGAAAATAAAATGTTTAAAAAGAGAGAGAGAGAGATGTGATAAACACAAGAAGCTGCTGCCAGAGTGAAGGGCTAGCATGTGATGGCATCACAGGCAATGGCGATGTTAGCGCCACCGTCATACGTGCATCCCACGCTGAAGAATGCTACATGGTGCATGACTGTATTGAGCTACTGCTCTGTTCTTTTTACTGCAAACACTTAGAAAGAATCCTCGAAGTTCACTTCTCCAGTCAATCTCTCAAATCCACTCGATCAGAGCCATGAGACATAATAATAAATTGTTGTTGTAAGCCTCTTGATTTTAGAGTGTTTTGTTATGTGGCAACAGCTAAGGGGAACAAGACCCCACAGAGGGCAGCGGGAGGTCTGCTGCAGGAGGAGAGAGCTTATTCATGGACCATTCTGTGCCTTTTACAGCTTGTGTCTGCAGAAGTCTAGGGAGTAACTGAGAGTGTAGATTTTTAAGGGTATTAAACCAATGGCAGAAAAATATAGCAATCAAGCTGAATTCTTTGACTTGAAGGTCAAAGAAGTCCCACAGGTCCCCTAGTTTTAGAACATGCCACGTAGATGGGCATACTGGGGAAACATTTCAACAATCAGTTGAAAGCTTGGGGTCAATGATAGAGTAGAGTTAATGAGGGTGAAATGCCAGACGTTCGCTATCAGTGTCAGCAAAAAACCCCGCAAGTTTCAGGAAAACAGGAATGGATACATTAAGTGCAACCTGCTGAGCACCACTCTGGGCACATCTAAGACACTCCTTTCACCAAGACATGAGGAAATGCTTCAGTGAGGCAGGCTCCAGCATCCTGGAAGAGCTACGTAGGTCAGAGATAACTGCAGAATAGGCTGTTATTACCAAAAAAAAAAAAATGCTCTTCTCCATGGGCATAATGGGATCCATCACAGTACATCCCAAGTTCAGTGCTGAGTTTTTAGAGACAGTGTGATGCAATTACCACTGCAAACCACAGTGACAGGGCTGTGACCTGCTGTGCTTTACAGCAATGGCTGTACATGATGAGGTCCTGAAAAATCATAACTGGATAGCTTACTAATAGGCTGCCTGACAGATATAAGTTTAAAAAAAAATATGAAGTCTGCTAAATAGAACTTAATTCAAGTTGCCAAATTGAGCCGCAGTCCCAAAACCCATACCTAAGTCAGTTCAGTGATGAGAGCCCCACTAGGGGATAGCTGGGCATTTTTGAAAACAAATCTTACAACATGGCCATAGGTGTATACCATGAACCTTCCTCCAAATCAGTATATCTCACCTCTGGCATTATTGGCACTTTGGATTGGGTATTTCTTTGTTTTGCAGGGCTGAGCTTTATGTTGCAGGATGTTTAAATATATGGGGTAGATGCCAGTAGAATGCAAACACATTCTTTCCCCTACTTGTTACAACAAATATTTGCCAAACTGTCAAAACCTTGCTAAATATCCTCTGGGTATAGGTTACCAGATTTAGCCCCTTCCCCCCAAAAAATGCAGATTAAATTTTAATTTCAGAATCAAATTACTACATGGGGCATATTTATACTAAAAAATTATTTGTTG